CCAAAATGCAAAAACAAAACAAAAAAAATAAAAAAAAAAATTACAAAAAAATTGAAAAATACAAAGTTTGCACCCCCTCCCGCCTGAACTAATTTACGGGATTATTTTTTCTCCTGCTTCACGGAATCATTTTTAGTTTCGATTGCGGGAACTAATTTATATGCTCAATTTTGGTCTTGAATTCCAATCCTAGAAAAAATTAATTCCCTCAATCTGCAGTTGCCATTTCTCCCTCATCACCCGGTCAACAATAGCAGGCACCCCAACCTCGCTAGCCTCACTGTTTCTGCTGCAACTCCCACAGTCCCTCCGGACCACTTCTCCCAATTCCTCGCAACCTCACCATTCTACAACCGGCAAGAATCGCACAACTTTTCCCCTATTACCGGCCACGCCACAACCATCCCCTACAACCCAAAATGGTCATAAACGCCCATTCCATATCCCGCAACAAAATCCCTCACCATCATGGTGGGGAACCAACAAAACATGAGAGGTTCGCATATATATAGACACACGAGACGATAACGAAAAAAAAAAGAGGGGAGGGGGAATTTTTCTTCGATCCGATATCCAAGAACAAATTAATTAAGAGGGAAGCCTGCAAAATTAGGAGAGAGTTAGGGATCGAAAAAAAAAGAGGGGAAATCGGCGAGTAAAGAAAAAAAGAGAGAAAATTCGAAACAAAAAAAAATTAAATTTACCCGAATTGAAGGCGAGTCCACATCCATTCCAACCAATTCTTTTAGGTGATCCCTCTAATTTCTCTTTAATTTCGTTTTTTATTACAATTTAAGTCCGATTTAAAATTTGGGATTTTTTCGAAATTGAAAAAATTTGAAGAATAGATTTTGGGGTTTTGATAAAATTGAGTCCTAAATGGTGTGAATTAACTTGATTTCAAGTCAATCAAGCCTAATTGAAAGAAAATTAAAGAATTTGAAAACCTAGGGTTTCGGTCAAAATTGGGGAAGAACATTTAGAAATTGATTTGGGGGTTTTTGTTTGAGCAAGGAAAAGAAGGAAAGAAAGGGGAGAAGAAAGAAAGAAAGGGGAAATCAAGGCTGCCATGGACGAACCTCCACTAGTTCGTCCATGGCAGCGACAGCAGCTTTATAAAAAAAAAAAAAAAAAAGAGACGAGAAAGGGAGAGAAAGGAGAAAGGGAAGAAAAGAAGAAAGGGAGAAGGGAAAGAAAGGAAAGGAGAAGGGAAGAGAAGGGACGAACCTCCACTAGTTTGTCCATGGAGGTTGGAGCCGGCGGAGAAGAAGAGAGGGAGAAGAGAAGAAAAGGAAAGAAAAAAGGAAAGAGGGAGAGACGGGATGGAATTAAAAAAAAAAAAAAAAAAGAGGGTTTCTTTAGCTTTGATCCGAAATTTAGGAAAGAAAAAGGAAGGGAGTGTTTGTGGGTTGGTTTTAGTTTTTTAGGTTTGGTTTGGGCTTAACCCATCTCATTTTCGATCTGGCTGGATCGAATCAACCTGACCAAATCAAATTTTTTTTTTCTTTGGGCTGGATGGATTCCGACCTGACTCGAAAACAAATATATGTGTGTGTGTGTGTGTGTGTGTGTGTGTGTGTGTGTGTGTGTGTGTGTGTGTGTGTGTGTGTGTGTGTGTGTAATAAATTTTACATTTTAATTTTATGCATGTTATTTTTTATGTTAAATGGTCTTTATTTAATTGTAATGTAAATTTAATTTTAGGTGTATTTATGTATGTTAGTTAGAATTTGTCATTTTAATATTTTGTAATTGTTTGCATTTACCCTTGAATTTATTTTATGCATATCTATTATTAATTTGAATGTCGGTATTTGAATTTTTTTTTTTATTCGTGTAGTTTTAATTTACTTGCTTAGAATTAAGCTCGGTAAGTAATAAGTGGAAGATCGTCAAGTCTCCTAAATTTTTAGGGACTGATAACAATCTTTCATGTAAAAAAAAATTATAATAAAATAAAATAAATAAATAAATAAATAAAAATAAAATAAAATAATAGTATTTATGTATGTTAGCTAGAATTTGTCATTTTAATATTTTGTAATTGTTTGAATTTACCCTTGAATTTATGCATACCTATTATTAATTTAAATTTCAGTATTTGTTTTTTTATTTAATTCGTGTAGCTTTAATTTATTTGTTTAGGATTAGGCTCGGTAAGTAATAAATAGAAGATCGTCAAGTCTCCTAAATTTTTAGGGACCGATGACAATCTTTCACTAAAAAAAATAATAATAATAATAATAAATAGTATTTATGCAAATAATAATAATAATAATAATAATAATAATAATAAAAGAAAGAAAGAAAAATAACAAAAAAAATCATCATAAAACTTTTAACAAAGTCTCATATCCGATAGGGACTCGTTGTTAACCAAAAATTCATTTTAATAAACAAGTGTTTTTCGACACACCGGTTGTGTCGAGACAAAAAAAATGGATCCGATGTTTGAAACGACGTGTCTCCCGACGGAAGGGGTCCGACGATCGTTTCAATACGATGTCATGCTCAAAAAAAAAAAAAAAAAAACTTAATTTGACTTAAAAAAAAAATTGGAGTCTCAAAAATTGAAAAATAATTTGGCAAAAAAAATATTTTTGGAGATAATTTAAGATTAAGCTAGATGTGGTACCTTTCTTAATAAAGGGCACTTTTGGGTGATTAATTATCTTCCCATAAGCGTAACCGACTCCTTACCATAGAATCTCCGAACTAGTGCCAATTTTAGGTTCCTAGTTCCTTCAATACTAGATGGTGACTCCAAACTCGTAAATAATTTTGTAAATAAAATAAAGATCCGAAACTAGTGATACGATGAGATTTTTTTTTTTTTTTTTTGAGTCCCGTCCGACGTCGGGTAGCGACAAATACAATCATAAAAAAGTTTTTGTTCTTCAATCAATTAACCAACAAACAATGGAAATCTAATCTTAAGACTGACAGTGTTGTAATTTTGCTCTTCTCAATAGTTTGTTTCTTATCTCGGGCATAAGGCATTTGTTAGGCATTGTAAGATTGTGTTCTGCTAAAGAGGAAGCAGCTGCATTGAGTAGGAGCTCAAGTTCATATAGAAAGTTCTCAATTCAAAATCAGGAACCTGAAGATTCGGCACTGGAAAAGATGTTTTAAGATTGGAAAGTTTATCATCATGCATGAAACATCAATAAGTATCAAGGAATTGTTTAGGACTAGTGAGGGCATAGAATAGAAAGTTAACATTTTAGCCAAGACCACAAAATATCTGATAGATCATACCATTAATTTTATTTGAAATCTTATATATTAGGTTGACACATTCTTTGCTGTTAGATCACCTCTTGGAGTCTTTCTTTATCTTCGCAGCATTCGGATTGGAATCGGTAATATTTGAAATAACACAAATCTCATTTTCCACATTCCTTAACATTTTCTTTTAATAGTTGGAAAATTAGTCTCAGTTTCAAAATCTAGTTTTAATAGTTGGATTCACTCAATATTTAGCTAGTTGTTTAGGACTACTTGAGCATTAAATTTGGTTCTTGATCTGGTAATCCATATTGGATTCACAGTTCAGCTTGGATTTGTGCTGGAGGAGTGGATCCAGGTTTCACAAGAAACTTAGTCACCCATAGCTTGTATAAATGAATGTTTCATACCTGGTTTCTCTTTCATGTTTTGAGGAAATGTTGTATTCGTAGCACTAAATATTTTTTTATTAAACAGGCTAAGGTGCTTACAGTTTGCCAATCAATTAAGGATTGCATATAACGAAGAGGGCAGAAAAATTCTCCGTTTTCATTGTGTCACTTCTCTTACAATTTCTTTATACGAGCTGCTTCTGTTCTTTCTGCCCCCATCCCAGCCTTACTCCCCCTCTCTACAAAACAGGAAAGACAGGATTTCCCTTCCTCCGATAAAAACTGTTTATAATCTCATTGACAATTTCTTCGTGCTCGTTAACCATTTGCTATTTGTGTTTTAGAAGCAGAAAATATCCATGAAAAAGAAGAGAGAACATATGGCTCAATAATGATGGAGCGATTAACCGGAAGTGAAGAACGAATAGACCACATGCTTTTGTTTAAAGCTGTATTATTATTTCACTCCATTGTTGAAATTGCTTTGTGCTTGTGTGGACATTTCTTTTTACTAAAACTATGTTGTCTGTTGTTAAGTTGTCACGTGTGGGTGAACGCAGAAGAAGAGTGCGAGGTTTAAGATGATGACATGGATGCTGTGGTGGACATTGACAGAGTTGCAGGATCATATTGAGCCAATTATTTCTGAAACGACAGCAACGCTAAATGCAGAATATCCCTTGATCACAGCCTTTTGTTTTCAGATGCTTTTGTGTATTCAATGCCATAATGCCCTGGCAGTTTTATAAAATATCTTCCTTTCTTATAATATAATCCTTCTATATTTTTTTACCTATATATTTCATTAAAAAAAAAAATCAAAGTAAATTAAAAAGAAGAAAAATAATAATAATAATAATAATAATTAATTAAATTACAAGAAAATTTAAGAATATAAAGACTGAAATAACTAGTTTTTAAAATAAAAGATTAATTAATTTGTTTTTCAAAATTAGCGGGACTAATTTATAATTTACTCACCAAAGTCGGATATAAGTTAATATGACCAAATAGAAAAAAAAATAAATAAATAAATAAATCGGGGTTCAGTGATTTTCAGCCCTTCCTATTGACATAAGAACTAAGATTGCTCAAAAAGGCCGATAGCATATTAAATGGGAGCACCTTCCTCCACACCGCCAAAAAATCCAGACACAAGAAAAACCTGTAAATAAAATTGAAGCCTATATAAATTAATACAAAAGCCTGTGTGCAGTTTCTATATGAATACGGTACTTCCCTACCAAAGAGGAAAAAAAATGAATAAATTGCTTGTGTAGGCATTGGAGCCAAAAATTTATTTCAAAGCATTGAAGCATATTTGACTTTTAAACACTGAAGGGAAAACAGTCTCCGTTTCTTAGAAGCGAAGCAGGTCTTTTAGGATTGAAAGTTTCCCAGGAGCCGATGATATAGGGACAATGATGAGGATGATGTATTTAGATTATCCATGATGGAGGGGCTAGTACCATAAAGGTTATCATCCTTTTGCTCTTGTTTAGGCCTGATGAACTGCTGTCCCAAGAGGGAAGTCTGAACTTGACCAACTGGTTTCCGATCACTACTAAAATCAACTCTAGCCAGAGAAAGATTTGCAGCTGTTTGAACACAAGGTGACAATGATCTTGGGAAATCTGGGACTAGTGAGGCAACAGAACCAGAGTGATTGGCAGCAAGGTGGTGGTTGTTGAACCCAAATGAATCATAAGGCATGGCGTTTTGGATGCAAGGAAATTTCATTGGGTAAAAAGCGGAAGACCCAAGATTTATTTCATTACTGAAATTTCCAGGGAAATTGGATCTCATATAGTCATTGTTAAATACTGGTTTTCTATCAAAACTGGATGCAAACTCTTGAATTTGTGCTTCAGGGTTTGGCACATTGGTGTTTCTGGCCAATGGCAGGGCAGGCTGTGCATTGCCAGAAGTCTGGGACAAATAGCTATCGCTTGAGTTTCCGTGACTGCTGTTTCTGGCTGCAGGCACTTCATGATTGTGTTTCCCTTCATATGTTGTAATTACATATTTCAGATTGTGGGAGGCTCTCTCCACATGCTTCCTAACTGAACATCCAGCACTTGTGCATTTATAGTAGCTCCTGCGAAGTAAATGAGAAACATGAATTTTGAAAGCCTATACCTTGCCTATGTTGAGAAAAAATAATAAGATGCTGCCAACCGCACACATCATTCAGCGTAAAGAAATGCAGATTTGAATGCATATGCAAGCTAGAAAAGAAAGTGACTGAAAATCAGATAACCAGGATTCTAAGTGAGACGAGCCAAATATTCTACTCTTATGAAGTGGTCACAAATGGGTTGGTTTGGTTAGGGTGAACATAGGTTGGATTATTCTTAAGCTCAAATGAGCTTTGGTACTTTTCTTAATTCTGGTGGTGCTTTGCTTTGAGGATTTATCTTGATTCCAGTACTGCCACGTAAAACATTACTTGTTTTAGTTGATTTGATAATATCAACTAGGACATTAATGACTTAATAATCTCTTAATTGTATTCAATTCAAACTTCTAAATAGACAGAATAATCCAAATACACCATCAAGAAACGAAGTTGCTCAGCAAAAGAAAGAAAACACATCATGATTGCAAATATTAGTGTACGGGAAAACTACAAGCATGTGTTCTTAATATTTGGTTGCAAATCTATATCTATAAGCATATCTAGTTGTATGTTTCTGTTATGCATATATATAGATCGTATATAACTATCTTGAAATTTTTTAAGATCTATTCAGATACCTTCTCAAGTTCTTCCTCTGTTTTTTTTTTTTAATATATATATATATATATTCTTTCATATGCATTTGCATGTATCCTTCAAAAGCTTGGTAAAGTGCAGGGGTTAATGCATTTCACAGTTAGGTATGTCCTCAACCTCTCCCTTTTTTTTTAGTCTACAATGAAGTATCTTAATGTTTATGTTATGCATATCTATAAGCATATCTAGTTGTATGTTTCTGTTATGCATATATATAGATTGTATATAACTATCTTGAAATTTTTCAAGATCTATTCAGATACCTTCTCAAGTTCTTCCTCTGTTTTTTTTTTTTTTTAATATATATATATATATATATATATATATATATATATATATATATATTCTTTCATATGCATTTGCATGTATCCTTCAAAAGCTTGGTAAAGTGCAGGGGTTAATGCATTTCACAGTTAGGTATGTCCTCAACCTCTCCCTTTTTTTTTTTAGTCTACAATGAAGTATCTTAATGTTTAGTAGGGCTTGTGTTGATTTTCCAAACAAAATAAAATTTAATCAATAATGCCTTTTCAATTAAAAGCCACAGAACGCATGGTTAAATGTCTAGTTATTAGTTAAACAGGTTGCACACCCATTCTAGTAATTCTACCCTAATCAATCCTAACCCCACCTGTTGAGCCATTTGACATACTGGTTATTTTCCAATCTGTGTGCTGTGCTATTGAACTATAACAATTATGCAGAAGCAAACAAATAGATTGAAAGAGAAAGCTAACTTTCCTCATATATCAATTGGCTAATGATAGAAAAACCTTATTTTCAATTAGACAAATGTATAGTCAACAGGAGTGCTAGCCGCTCTAATGAGGATACCATATTAATTTAGAATAAATGTCATATCACATGCAAAAAACGCTGTAAAATGTCAATACCTAGGGTTTGGATTCCCCTTGACAACTTTTTGGCCATACTTCCTCCAGCGGTACCCATCATCGAGTATGTCCACTTCACTCTCTATTTGAACAACAACTCTTGGCTCACGGACAGCCCTGGATGCCATATTTGTTTCAGCCAAGCAGCTCTCTATCTTCCTGAAATGAGAAAAAAAAAATCCCTGTAATCTACCATGTTTTCTGGACTGAAAGCATTGAATGCTAAACAGAGTACCTTCTTTTTGACTCAGACTCATCATCAGCATCAACACCAAATGAGCTTCCCTGAGTAACCCCATCATCGTCAGCATGACTTGCAAGTGTGGAGGAAAGCTCTGGAGTTTCTGTTGATTCAAATGTTTCTACAGATTTGATTTGAGTGGTTGACAAAGGATCTGAAAGCTCAGTCACAACAGAGGTTGAAGATGTCCTTTCCAGGCCGTCAGCCCTACAATCAGAATGAACTCTAATATCCTTGGACCCTGACTCCGTATTTTTCTGAATCGATCCACCTTCAACTTTAACACTGTTTTCACCTTCATCCATACCTGGCATTTCATCTAATGAAGAAGCTGGTCCAGGTGGTGCTCCACGACTTGGCTGAGGTTTAGGGTGATTATGTGTACCTTTGTAAATGATTTCTGTTATTTGTCCATCATGGGCACGCTCTACTTTTTTCTTTACCAGACAATTTGCATGGGTACACTTATAATAGCTCCTTGGATATTCACTACCTTTAACCTGTTTCTGCCCATACTTTCTCCAATTGTATCCATCTTCTGAAGTCCTTCCGATTGCTGTTGCAGGTAACGTTCCTTTCTGTTCTTCCATAAGGCAATGTGACTCAGCATTTTCTCCATGTAGAATTTCTCTTTGTACAGAAATGGGATTACTAGATAAATCAGAAGAGCAAATTTGCATGTAACTAACGTTGGCATTTCCAATCATGCTATCTAGAGAATTGGCATCAGTATTTGAATCAGTGGTGCATTTTTCTGGAGTAGCTTCCTTTGACAACTCCATTGGAAATTGAAAATCCATTGACGGGTCCACCAAGAGAGTAGCTTCAAAATCAAAATCATTACCCTGTGCGAGAAGAAAAGATAAAACGCATAAAATTTGACTTCGAATGTGTGAATAACAAACAAACTGAAAGTAACAATACACCCTCATGAAGGTCTCATCCCAACCAAACTCCACAAACATGAAATAGCTTTTACACCATTTCCCCTACAATAAATTAGAGCTTTCTTGAGACAAGCCGTAAAGATTGGCTGACAAAACAAAAGAGGTCGATAAGGTCTTGAACCATGGTTCGGGTAATGCATTGTTTACAAATGAATGGAGAAAGGGGATACATGTAAATTGTTCATATATCAGGCAATTTTATTCTGGTAGATGATTAACAGGCTTAAATTGACCACAACAGACAATTTGAATAGTATAATTAAGTAAAAGTACCCGAATTTCTGAAAGTGGAAGAGAATCCCCATGAGGCTTGAATCTGAAGGAGAGACCACCAGCATTACTGCCCCTCTCCCCATCCCCCGAACCCACTCCCTTGAGCAACGAACCAGTTTCACATCTGAGAGGGGATAATGGAAAAGTTCCGGTGGTAGGCGACGGCTGTTATTAATGTAAGATTTGAAACCATGATTAATTATCAATTTCAAACCATAATTAATTTTTCAACTAATAGAAAACAGAAAAATACCTGAGCATGAGAATTGGGCAGCATAATGGGGGAATCAAGCAAGGCAGTAGGGCTGATGCCAGGAGGAATAGTTATAAAGGGAGACCGAACCGGAGTCGCACAAGGAGATGTCAAAGGGCTGGTGGATCGAAAGCGAGCCGTATTGATCCTCTCCGCTTTCATTTTGAACCCGCATTTCGCTGCTCTTCTCTCTGCAATACTAATGCCTCTGTTCTTAATACTGTTATTATTACCATCACCGTTGCTGCTTTCGTTTCCAAGATTGGGAGCCGACAATAGGGTTTTATAGTCGGTGAACCACGCTGCTGGATTGTTGTCCATGGATGACGACGAAGACGACGATGATGATGGATTGCAGAATGGTGAGGGAAGGAAGTGCAAGACTTACATGTCCGTCACTCCTTCAAGGTTTTGTTTGTTAGTACTGAAGCTTTTCGTATAAAATAAAAACCCCTCCCTCTCTCTCTCTCTTCTCTCAAACAAGACAATAATAATAGTAATTATTTTTTCGAGATATTTGAACAACAGAGGCAGTATCTTACTAATATATATACCACTACTCCTCGTATCTCCTTCTTTTTTTCATAATAATAATAATAATAAAGACAACGTTAACTAAGATCCTCCTGGTAGTCTTGCCTTCTCTGTCACATACTTACATGACATGACTTTTTCTTTTCTTTTTTATTTTCTTTTATTTTTTCAGGGTCAATATAAGCCTTCCATTCTTGTGAAGATCGTAAATGGAAATAATTTAAACACCAAATTCAAACAGTCCTTGGAAAACACACAAATTTGGCACGACCTGCTTTATATGGCATGTACACAGAAATTTTGCATTTGGCTTCGCATATATATTTTTGACACCTCAGATCTATTATGGATATCCTCTTTTGTAAATCATCTTTTTAGAATATTTTTAATCACTTTTGACTGTGCATCAATGGGTATAAAAGTAACAAAATATATATATGTGTGTTAATTGACTATTAGATCCTCAATATAATACCAATATTATATCATATGGTATCGATATTAATATGTAAATCCCATCACCCCTCTAATTAAGAAAAATATTATTTTAGGTAATTTTACTTATTTCTCTTTCTCTTGTTCTCTCGTTAAATAATAATAGCTATCGTTGACGAGAAAGCCATCAGCAGCTATTCTTTAATTTCATCTTCCTTGTTTTCTTTTTTTTTTCTTTTTTTTAGGATGTTAACATGCGAATCACATCTAGATATTAAATTTAAATTTGATATATAGTTGAAGTTTCCGATTTGTTAGGATGATTAGTCTTTGAAAAAAATGCTTTGGTACTCTTTTGTTGGGTTGTGGGGGTTATACGTGGTTTATTGATATGTACTGACACTTCGATGTACAGTTTTTTTATGGTTGAGATATTCCGATAATAGAACATGATAGTGAAATTCATTTCTTATGGATTTGTAGTGGTGATAAGCTTGATTACATGTATAATTTGAAGGGAAAAAAAAGTTATATCTTAATGGATCATCATCGATAAGTTTCGAATTTTTATTAGCTTTCACGAAGAGACTAATTATTATTACTTGAAGACCTTAATCTAAAACAATTTTATCTTTTTTTGCTGATGTAACATGATGCAATTTTTATCTTGTAATTATTAGTATTGTTTTTCTATAAAGATAGTCATATATTTGTTTCACTTTTATTGTCCATTAAATTACTATCCTTTGTAAAAAGAAAAACATCATTTTAAAAAATTATTGAATTCCTAAAGATTAAAATAAGCCAATCCCCTTTTTGCACTATTTTCTATTTATATACCATATAAAACACACATAAAAATAAATTAATCTTCTTAAAATACTTCTTATCCTTCAGTAAAATAAAATATTATATATAGTACCTTTGGTATATTATTTTGGCTATCAAAACTCAAAAAATACTTAAAACCAAGTCAATAAAACCAATAATATTAGCATCCAAAAATAATAGATGACAACAAAACTCAAAAATTCTATAAAAATACATTGAAATTTATTTGAATAAAGGAATCCTTTCAAAAAAACAATTCAAAAATACTATAATAAAACCGAGTAATGTGTAGAAAAAATTCATCGAAATTTCATAACGAGTAAAGTATAAATATTAGTGTGTGATGTCTCACTACAAGAAATTCACTTAATAGTGATAAAATTTAGTGACAAAATCAAGTTCATCGCTAAATAGGAAGAAAATAGCAACATAATAGCGATCATTGAATTTAATGACAGATTAGAGATGGAATAGCGATTGTATTTTAATGATGGACACAAATCCATCATTAAATTTGATTGTATAATCTTCCTAGGTATTTTAGAGATGGCTTAGCGATGGATTTGTTAGGAAAAATAGTGACGGACCTAATATCTGTCTTGATTTTCATTCTAATGATTTAGCAATAGAATATCCATCACTAAATTCCAATTCCCTCGGAATTTAGCAATTGTAAAAGTCATCGCTAAAAGGGAGTTTTTTGGAAAAAATTGAGGCTGAAATTTTGAAATATAAAAATCGCCAATGTTGTGATGGATTAACAACAAATATCCATAAATTGAGATGGATTAGCAATGGATACTTAAGTCGGTCTCTAAATATGAAAAATGGACGTCTAGTTGGTGAAAATTTGGCATCCATTTGGACACGAGGCTCCTATCGCTAAGTTTCAGCCCTAATTTAATCTTCTCCTTCTTCCTCCTCCCCCATTTTCTTCTCCCTCTCCAAAACCGGTGACTATCAACAATCTCCCACCCCCTTCGAACACCACCAAACTTCACTCTTCCACTCTCAATTGATTCACCCACTCTAAGGCATTTTCTCCTAAAAAACCTCCATTTTTTCTTCCCTCCTTTTGGTGTAATTCCAATCGATTAGGTATGTTTTTCTCTCTTTTATTTTCTTAATTAAAGTTATTTATTTTTTATAATCTTTAGGTTAATCTAAGTTTAATTACTAGGTTTATGATTATGTATAGGTTTAATTATTATTTTGTTGATTTTTTTGTTAAGTTATTAATTTTTGTTAATTTTAGGTTAATTGGTTGATTAATTGTTAAGTTAATTAGTTGTAAATTCAATTAAATTAGAATTGTTTTTAATTAATTAAGTTAATTTTATTCAAATTTGGTTAATTAATTAGGTTAATTATATGTTTATTTGGTTGAATTAGACTAAATTTGTTAATTAATTTTAATTTTTTTATTTAATTGTTTAATTAGTCTTAATTAAGTTAATTTCATGATTAATTTAAAATTAATTTGGTTAGAATTAGAATTAATTAAGTTAATTAGATTTATATTTAATTAATTCATTAGGTTAATTATGTTTAATTAGTTGAATTATAAGTTTAATTATATTAGAAAATTTTATTTACTTGTTAATTTAAATTTAATTTGGTTCAAAATAGAATTAATTAAGTTAATTTGATTTTTATTTAATTAATTAATTCGGTTAGTTTTGTTTAATAGGTTGAATTAAAACTTTATTTATATTTTAAATTGTTAATTAATTATTATATAAATTTTAATTTGGCTAGAATTAGAATTAATTAAGTTAATTTTCATTTTATTTAATTAATTATTTTTTTAATCGATTGAATTAAAATTTATTTGTATTTGAAATTATTAATTTATTGTCATATAAAATTTAATTTAGTCGAAGTATAATTAATTAATTAATTTGGTTAATTTTGTTTAATAGGTTGAATTAAAATTGTATTTATATTTGAAATTGTTAATTAATTGTTATATAAAATTTAATTTTGTTAGAATTAGAATTAATTAAGCTAAGTTGATTTGTATTTATTTAATTAATTAGGTTAGTTTTGTTTAATTTTTTGAATTAAAACTTTATTTATATTAGAAATCAATAAATTAGGTTAGATTTAGAATTAGTTAGTTTAATTATTTCGTATATAATTATTGAAGTGTGTCTAGATACGTCGTAGTGTATCAAGCCCGAGAGATCGGAGACCCCCAAGAATTAAGGAGAAATAAGGTCTGGTTCAATGCTTTGCGATAGAACTATGAGAAAGAATTTGTGATTTAATTTTGATGGAGTATCCTAGACAATTGTTGGTCTCGTATGTTAGGTGTATAGGCGAGTATTTAAAAGATGATTTTGTGAATGGGGTTAAAGAATTTACTGCATTTGTTGTTACTCATCTTGAACACATGGATAGAATAAAGTTAAGGTCTCCTTGTAATTAATCACCATAAGTGTCAAAACCAAAATTTTAAAGAAGTTCACATGGTTAAATACCATTTAGTGAGATAGGGTTTTATGTTTGGATATTATAACTAGATACACCATGAGGAAGTTGACTCGATGAGTTATGTCGTGTCGAGAAAATTTTTATGAAGTTGAAGAGAGTTATAGTCAACCTCCCAACCCATATGAAATGATAGTGATGGATACGACAAATCCATCATTTAATCGATCCGAGCATAAATGAGATACCAAATCCCGACGCTTGAGCTTTTTATGACATGTTGAATGCGAGTGAATGAGGAGATTTGGCTTGGTTATTGCAATTGCTCTTAATTGTCTACGGTTGCTCGATGGCTAAACCTTAAGTCGAACGATATGTTTTTTAAAGTTGTTACCACGAGATATGTGTACTGATAAATGAGTTAATGCCGGTTAATAACTCTATGATAGAGAATTGTTATAGCACCAAAACGTTGATGAAAAGCATGGGTTTATCGGTAAAAAGATTCATTATTGTAACGAGAGGTTGTATGATTTAATAAGGTGAAGATAGTAGATTAATCGCTTGTAAGTTCTATGAGCATCCTCGATATTGAAGTTCGAGACGGGGATCGGTAAGAGCAAAATATATTCCATTCAAAAAAATGAATTACTTTCTACTTACCTCGCATTTTTAAAAATTGTATGCATTGAATACCACGGCTAAGCACATTATCCGGCATGCTTGAACAAGAGGTTGGGGATGAAGGAATCATGCTTCATTGCTCTTCACTCTTTTAATCAAACATGTCTTTCTTTCTAAGATCAAAGTCGGGGTTGTGATTGATTTGTCAAAATTGTTTGGTGGAGTTTAACGAATACAAATCCATTTCAAGAGGATGCTTCAAAATCCAGCATAATTTGGTTCAAGATGATGGTGAAGAGCGAGTTATTGAATGATCCAAATAGATCATTTATAGATATAGAAATAATTGAAACTAATGAAGAAAATGAGAGTGAAGATATATCATGATCAACTAAAGAAGAAGAAAACTTAGAAGATTATTATGATAGTTGTAATTAGAATCAATTTTATTTATTATATTCATCAAATTATATCGTTTTATCTAGTATGCATTTTTTTTTATGTTTGTTGTGCATTTTAGACGTATTAAATTTTATTTGTTTTTATTTATAATAATTTATAATATATTTTTTATCGAATTATTATTTATTTTTAAACTATTTCGGGTGTTATTCTTCATTCATACTCCACTACGGTTTTTCTCGACTCCAGAAGTTATATTAGATCCGATGACGGATGGATCATTTGGGTCATGAATAACTAGTAAGTAATATGGTTTAAATGTGATAATTAGTTTCATATTTTCATATATTATATTGAAATCATTAATTCACTTATTTATTATTTATTTATTTTATTTTATTATTTTGTTCCATCAAGTAAGTTCTCTACAAAAATCACAACAATTTTCAAGGAATGGTTAGACGTTGTTGGCTCCATATAGAAGTCTATCTCTACGAAGAAGAAAAACTTCTAGTTCAAATATTTTAGGATAATATATCAATTATTTACTTATATTTCATTTAAATTGTTAATTTAACATGAAAAGTACTGATATTATTTTTTTCTTCCATGTAGAAGTACTTTTTATGAGATACGGTCATCAATATATTGATTAAGGATATATGGAAGAGTCCGGCATGGAGGCGGTAGACAACATGCTCAACAAGTCGAAGAATAAGGATAACGGACATGTGTTTATTAAACAAGAAGTGTGGGAAGCATGGCACCGGGATTGGTTCACTTTCAAGTATCGGGTCCGATCTTAGCGGGTGTTTCAAAACGAGCATGTTAGAGACGGGTGGTATTGATGCTTGGCCCATCCAAGCATGCCGAAGGGTCCATCTCTTTGATCACGTTGAGTGTTTGATAAATAATATATTATGCATTGTCTTATAAATTAATTTTTTTCATCTATTTTACCTCATATTATTTTTATTAAGCATGTCGGAGACTTCTTTAGGATTTGATTTGAAGTCGATAACGACTTCCTACTTTTATGAACCGAAGTTGTCGGTGGCTTCCTACTTATGTGAAAGAAGTCATCGATGGCTTCTAAATTTTATGAAACCAAAGTCGTTGATAGCTTCCTACTTATATGGATGAAGTTATCGGTAGCTTTCTAATTTTACGAATCGAAGTTGTCGATGGCTTTCCACTTATGTGGATGAAGTTATCGATGGCTTTCTAATCTTTTAAATTAAAGTTGTTGGTGACTTCCTATTTATATGGATGAAGTTATTGATGACTTTCCATTTATGTCAATATGGGATCCTAATCCCTAAAGGCTCGCCTATTTATCGATACAGAGCTTATCGTTACTAGAAGTTACCTAAAATTTTAATTTCTCCTTAAAGTATGGGTGTAGGCCTTTGGTCAGCTCAAATCCCAAATTACTCGATCCATTTATTTCAATAAAATAAATTCACTCAAATAGACATAAAATCATAACATAGTAAGACTAGACCTTAGATGTCACATGCATACGGTTAGAATGTAGTGGTTGTGGTGATGTTAATCTTCCGCATGCGTAACCACCTCTTATCCGGATATTTGCATCGACTAGTTTATTTTGGATTTTCTAATTTCTCCAATTGTTAGGTGGCGACTCCACTTGCGCCGAGCCCTATCAACATTTAATGATTTTATTTTTGATTTTATTTATTCTTATCTTTTGAATTATATTGAGATATTTTATAAAATTTAAGAATAAAATTGAAATTTACCCATTTTTCCATTACGATTTCGAATAATGCAAGGTTTGATTGAAACAAATGAAAACTTAAAACAAATAATATATATATATATATATATAATTTAAAGACCTTGTGTTTGCATCTAATTGAACACTATGCAAATGATTTTGTGAATTCGATCTTCTAATCATTACATTTAGGCAATTTAGTCTAACTATTCTCGGTTGTTAACAAAAATCTATTTGTTGTGTTAAAACTTGTTGAGTTAGAAAATATTGATCGAGTCAATTATAAATCAATTCCTCTAGTTTTGATAAACGAATTAATTAGTCCATCTTGTTTCAAAAACAAATTATTCTCTTTTCTTTCTTTTTCAATTCATTTTGATTAAAAAAAAAGTAAAAAATATGAAAGAGTTGATGAGAAAAAATGACTCTTTTTTAAAAATAAAGTAATATTAAATTAAACATCTTTAATACTTGTCAATAGACTAAATAATTAGTTTTAAAATAAAGAAGACTAATTAATTAGTTTCTCAAAATTAGAGACTAATTTTATTTTTTTAATATTAGCTCTGTACAACACAACTTTTATATCAACATATTTAGCTTAAATTTTCCAAAGAATTAAAAATAAAATAAAATAATTAATACGAACCAAAATATTTAAAAGTTTTTTTTTGTTTCTATTTTTACCTAATCTACTATTTGAGAGGTTTTTAGACAGATTTGCATGACTACCATGAGACTATCTAGTAACAAAAACTTTAGATGTAGCATTTTAGTCAAAATTATGTCTTTCATGAATTTTTTATTAGATCAAATTGTTTAAGTATAATGAATACATGATTGAATTTAAAAAATATTTAATTTGCTAATTTGATATATAGAAATATAAAGTCTTAAAATGAAATAAATTGAAACAAATTGAAAATTTTCAATTGCATTCCATTTTTCTCCGAAAGATCTTAAAATGTTCAATTTGTTTTTCAATCAAATTATCCAACCATAATTTTTTTTAAAAAAAATTCAATTGCATGCCATTTATCTCCGAAAGATTTTAAAATGTTCAATCTGTTTTTCAATCAAATTATCCGACAACAAAATTTTTTTGACCGAAATGCGAAAAAAATTAATTAATTAACAAATAATAATAAATACTTAAGGTCACATGATTTATATGCTTTATTTTTAAAATCTTTAGAGTTTTATTACTATTATTATTTTGCATTTTAATTAGAAGCATTTTGATCAAAAAATTATTATTTGGTGAAAAAATTAGTCGAAAGAATATGTTGAATATTTTAAATATTTTTTTAAATAGATGAGATATAATTAAAAATTAATTTAGCTATAGAGGAAAGATTTTGAATATTATATAAAGATAAATGAATATATTTATCCTAAAATTAACATTACACACGTTAAGCGCAAATTGAAATTTACTGAACAAAAACCAGTGCATGTTACGGAAACACAAAAAGGAGAAAACTCATGTCTGACTCGTAGCAACACATGTTGATATTCTGATCGTCCTTGCCTCCACGTTTCACTTTATTTGCATGCAAAGCAGGTGAGGCTCTAAAACCTGCGATACTCTACGATGGATCTACTCAGTATTCCCACACATTAAACCACGGCGACGGCCTGTATATGCTAGCTTAATAGTAATTTCTAATAATAACCTCTGTTGATGCACCACCGCCCGCCACCACCGTAAGTCAGCTATCAGCTATGCAAAATGAAGAATACTGCAACCTAATACCAAAAACAGACTGGTTCACAGAAATAATCTCTTTCTATTCAGATATAATCTACAACTTTATCATGACTCTCCTATCACCTTTCATAGCTATTTTCACCATAGCCTCAGACTCCTACCACCGAGCCGAGGAGAGCGTAGACGCTGTGGAATCAGTGTTTCTGAAGGTTCCCTCCAAAGTCACCCTTGGCACCACCACTCTGTTGAGAAAGATAGGTTTTGGGATAGTTGGTGCTGTATGCGTGTGCATGGTTCTGATACTGGTGATGTTATTGGCTGCAATGTTGGGTGTTGGATTAGTGCAATTGTGGGTAGAGGAGCCTGTATTTATGCGAGAGAGGTTGTTCTTCGATTACACTGACGTGAACCCCAAAGCGGTGTTTACTTTTGGTGGGTCTGTCGACCATGAGAGCATAACAAAGGGGCTAATGGGAATTCCAGTTGGGCACACATTTCATGTTTCTTTGGTTCTCTTGATGCCGGAATCTGATTACAATAGGCAAATTGGGATGTTCCAGGTATGCCATCTTGTTGAATATGTTTTGGGTTTCCGCTAATTGACTAGATTTTGAAATTTTGGGACTGATCGTTGTATGTGAAGGCATAGAAGGAATTAGTCTTGATGCTATAACTAAAAAGATTAAACTCGAGATAACCCTTACTGCTAAAACCAAATTAATGATAATATTTTTAACCCCTCGATTGAGACTAGTTTAGAATTAATTATAGATTTTTATGTCAATTAGCTAAGCAGATTGGATTTTTTTTTTTTTTTTTTTTTTTTTTTTTTTTTTTTTTTTGTGGTTGATTCACGGGAGAGGCATAGCTGATCAGAGAAGATTACTTTTGATTACAAAGTCTGAGAGTTATAATTTTGCAAATATTTTCTAACAAAGAGACTAATACATTCTATAGGTCTTTAATTCTATCAAAACGTGAAATCTCAACATGTCACATTAATAGGGAAAACCAACAGACAATATTTGCCATGATCGAGGTTTTCTTTTAATAGTTGAAAATACGTTAAGATTTCGGTGGGATTAACTATTAATAATGGATATGGCATTTTCCATTAGCATAGTTTTTCCAATTAACTATTACTCGGATTCTTCATTTTACCTCCCTAAATGCCTCAATACAAGTCCAAAACTTTAGGCATGGAGTTCTCTCACCTATGGCTAAACTAGAAAGAACAATAGCCGAGGGCGACAGAGACTTTATGGGAAGAGTAGACAACAACAATTTACCCAAATCTTAACCTTAAAGGCCAAAAATAAAGCGTGGGCCTTGTTTTTTATATTAGTCATTAATATTTTACTCTTTTAAACCATAAAACACTTTCCTCTTTCTTAAGCTTAATTAAATTTTCTTTGATTGGAAGTGAATTTCTAAAATGTAGCTAAACATGGAAAAGTAACTTGGAACAAAGAAAACAAACAAAGGCAAAGGAAAAAAAAATCCATTTGAAATGTTTGTTTGTTTGTTTTTTTTTTTTTTTTTGGGTCTCCCCATGGAAGTTCTTCCTTCCTTGATATCAAGGCTTTCCATCATTTTGATTCTCACTATCTAGATAATGTTTTTTTTTTTTTTTTTTTACTTTCTAATACATTTGTTCATAACTTAAAACTCTTCGAAGGCTTTCTTTTAGGAGTCATGACGTAAGGCAACTTACAAAGTTTCATCTTGTTTGTTGTCATGGATTTCATATATTTTAGTTTCTATTTTTTTAGAGGGTGTTTGTTTTGTGTAATATATATATATTAATTTTTCTATGGTTTTTGGTCAAAAGTATTTTATCAAAAAACTGATATTTTAAAGTATAACCTATAAACTTAGTTCATATGTTGAAAAATATTTTCAATTAAAGTTTTGTATATTATTTTAAGATAGTGATCAATGATAAGAAAAGGACTAAGTAATAAGATGAGCAAAATGCATGGTGGGCAAAACACAAGAATATATTTCACTCAAAGTTTTTTACACACAATAATCACTCACTACTAAGGACAATAAGTTATCCTCACATTTCTACTTACAACTCTTTGAATATAAAATGATTATTTTCAATGCACATGATCCACTAAACATGACAAGTGCGAGCATATTTTAAATCATTCTAGAATTTTATCCATGTTATACTTGTACACAATATTCTCGCCATACACTCTAGTTGACACCACTCAAACAAGAGAAACTCTCTCTTTTTCCAATTAGCTCTCTATAGCTAATTATTTGTTTCTCAACTTCTTGCATGAACCAAATACATGAGAGAGGTATTTGTACTAGTTAGAAATAAATCCTAATCATGCATTTAGTCTATATCATTAATGAGATTAGGTGGGAGTTAAAGATTTTTCTAGGCTTGCTAGTTGTCTTGAGAAAAATCTAGAGAAGATAATTCTAGACTTGCTAAATGTCTTGAGAAATCTAAAGAAGAGTTTTCTACACTTAGGCTTCGGGCTATGGACTTGGACTTACGCTTTAGACTTTGAGCCAAATCAAGTTTAATTGCTTACATGCCCCTTAAACTTGATTTGGTCATTCCAAGCAAACTTTGTAATCTATAGAGTACTTGTTGCTTGAGTAGTTTCATGAGAATGTCTACAACTTGATCTTCGGACTTCGTGAACTTCACTCGCACTTCATTTCTTGTAATGCATTCTTCAATAAAATGACAACATATGTCAATATACTTGTGTTCATGAAATATTGGATTTTTAGCCAACGTGATTGTAGACTTGTTATCGATGTAAATCTCTATCGGTTCTTCTCGTGTCACCCTAAGCTCCTTGAGTAGACTTCTCGGCCATAGTGCATGATAGATGTATGAAGTTGTAGTAACATAGTCGGCTTCACAAGTTGAGAGAGTAACAATAAGTTGTTTATTTGAACTCTAAGTGAAAGATGTATCTCCTACGTAGAAACGAAATCCGGTAGTGCTCTTTCTTTCATCCATATTGCCTACCCGGTCATTATCACTTGTATCCCATGAGCTTAAACTTTTTAAGCGAGTATAGAATAGATCGTAGTCAACTATGCCTTTGATGTAACAAATAATTCTCTTTGTTGCTTTCGGATGTGTGTAGGATTCTTTATATGTGTGTAGGATTCTTTATATGCGACTTATGAGGCTAACTCTAAAGAGAATATCAAGTCTTGTGCATGAAGATGTCTAATAACATACGAAAAAATATTTTTTGGTTTTGATACTTGAGATATAGACACATAAATTTTAATAATTTACACATATTCTCTAAAAAAGAAATGGTGAAAGGATTGTGTTCCATTGACATCCTTAATCAATTATGTGAAGGATGTCTTTATGAAAAACGCTCTAAAAAAAGCTTTTCATAAGAACCTACATCAAGCACTAAGAAGTCACTTGAACTTCTATTTTATGGGCCTATTAATCCAAGTTTATATGGAAAAAATAAATATTTTCTTATATTCATTAATGATTTTGTTGATAAGACTTGGATATATTTTCTAAAAGAAAAATAAAAAGCATTCTCTATGTTCAAAAAATTCAAAGCTCTTTTAGAGAAGGAAAGTGGTTATGAAATTAAAGTTATAAGAATGAATCGAGGAGAAGAATTGACATCAAAAGAGTTCAATAAATTTTATAAAGATAATGGAACTCGACATTCTTTAAGTATCTTGAGGTCACTCAACAAAACGAAGTCGTTGAAAAAAAATAGAACAATTTTGAACATGATTCAAAGTGTGTTGAAGAGCAAGAAGATGCCAAAAGAGTTCGAGCTAAAGTTGTTGATTGTGCTATGTACCTTTGCAATCAAAGTTCTACAAAGAACCTCTCTAACAAGACTTTACTAGAAGCATCGAATGGTAGAAAGCCAAATACCAAGTATCTTAGAGAAGCCAAATACCAAGTATCTCATAGTTTTTAAAAGCAATGCTTATGTGCATGTTTTACATCAAAATCTCTCCAAGCTAGATGATAAGAATGAGAAATATGTCTTATTCAAAGGGATGCAAGCTCTACAATTTAGTTAAAGATAAAACAATTATCAACGGAGTTATGGAGTTCGATGAAGAAGTCACATAGGATTGGAATGTTAAAAAAAAGTGACAAGTATGATTTTTTTTTTTTTTAGTATTTAAAGAAGATAACAAGCCTATAAGCCAAGAGTTGTAAGATTTGACTTTGCTACCTTTGAAAGACTCCTCTTCAAAAAGCTCTAATGAATTAACTCTCTACATAAAGAGCTTAAATGAGATCTATAATGTAACATAAATCTCAATGATGAGCTAACTCTTAGGCTTTATGTCGTGCAAAACGAGAAAATGGAGAGAGGCAATATATGAATAAATAAAGGTGTAACAAAGAATGATACTTAAGAGCCCGTGACTCTTTCAAAAAAGGCATAACACTATTAGTGTTAGGCATAAAACTACTAGTGTTAGATGGGTCTTCAAGATAAAAAAGAATGTCAAAAAGAAGTTCATAAGTGCAAGATAAGATTGGTTGCCAAGAAATACAAACAAAGAGTTGACATTGACTATGATGAGGTATTTGCTTATGTTGCTCTCTTGAAATTATAAGATTTATTTGTCTAGCAACTCAAAACAAGTGAAAAATCTTTCAAATGGACATCTACATTCTTAAGTGGCTATCTAGATGAAGAAGTCTATCTAGAGCGGCCATTAGGCTACATTGAAAAGAGTCATAAAGGTACAAAGTTAAAAAAAATTTGAAAAAAAAAAAACTCTTTATGGCTTGAAATAAGCTCTAAGAGCTTGGTATGGTAGGATTGATGATTATTATCATAAAATTATTTTTTCTAAATGCCAATATAAGCATGCTTTCTATGTTAATAAAATAGATATTTATATCTTAATCCTGTGTTTATACATGGATGATTTGATATTAACTAGAAATAATGTAAAACTAGTTAAAGATTTCAAGAAAACCATGGCAAGAGAGTTTGAGATGACAAATATTGGACTTAAGTCATATTATCTTGGAATAAAAGTGAAGTGAAGCAAAGGGAATATGACATCTTTCTTTCTTAAGAAACTTATGTAAAGAAAATTCTCAAGAAATTCTAGTTGAAAGATTGCAAGCCAATTAGCACACATGTAAAATGTGTTGTCAAGTTATTCAAGCAAGATAAACCAAAACAAGGTGACTTGATGTTATTTAAAAGCCTAGTTAGGAGTTTGAGATACTTAACATCTACAAGATCTGATTTTCTTTTTTGAGTTGGTTTTCAATCTATATATAAAGGCTCCTATCACAACTCATCTAAAAATTACCAAAAGAATTCTCTATTATGTCAAGAGTATAGTTGATTATTGTATTATCTACACTCGTTTTGATAATTTCAAACTTATGGGTTACATCAATAGTGATTGGATAAGAGACTTAGATAATAAAAAGATTACTACTAGATTCTTATTCTATATAGACAATATAGCTTTCACTTGGAGTTCAAACTTATAGGTTACGTTGATAGTGATTGGATATGAGACTTAGATAATAGAAAAAATACTACTATATTCTTATTCTATATAAGTAATACGACTTTTACTTGGAGTTCCAAAAAGCAACCTATAGTTACTCTCTTCACTTGCAAGGCTGAATATGTTGATTTAACTTAATGTGATTGTTATATTGGATAAATAGTTTATTAAATGAGATGGGGATACCACAAAAGGAATAAAAAAATATTTACATATATAACAAGTCAGCAATTACTTTGGCAAAAAAATTCATTTTCAAGAAAGAAGCAAGTGCATCAATACGTGTTATTATTTTCTTAGAGAATGCATTGTAAGAAAAGAATTAAAGGTCAAATTTACAAGATTAGAAGATCTAAGTGGCTAACATATTCATAAGACCACTAAAGCATAAATTATTTTGTAAGTTGAGAATTCTACTTAGAGTTTACCAAATTAAGTTTAAGAGGAGATGTTAAAAATTATACTTGACTTGATTCAAGTCCATAGCCCAATTCCAAAATCCATATCTAGAAAATTCTCCTAAAAACTTTTCTCAAGCCATCTAGGATTGTTAACATTCAAAAACTCTCTTGAAGTTTTTAAAGAGTTATTTTAGTTAGTCTAGGTACATGCATCTAAATCATTAATGGTGTGGTTATTCTTTTGAGTCTCTTGAATTATCCTTAAGATAGTATAAATATGGCCTTTTGGCCATCGGTTTAGGTGTGCAAAAGAGCAAACTAATCAAGTGCTTATAAAAAAGTGAGTAAGAGTATACGAGGGTCTATTGTTTATAGGAATGAATGACTAGTGTGTGCAAAATATGTGAGTGAAATATATTTGTAAGGCTGAGTACTATACGAGTATAATTATTTTGTGTCAAATTGATGTATTAGAATTTTCTTCTATTAAAATTTTTTATTTTGATTTTAGCCCATCATACATTTTAATCTATCTAATTATTTAATCCTCCTTTCAATAAAAGCTGAGATATTTAAAGCTAGGTGTAGTTGAACCTAACTAGAACTTGAAATGGATCTAAAAGTCTCAATGAGAGCTTATAAAACCTCATAGGAAGTCTTCAATCTTGTTAGGATAAAATCCAACTCAACAAAGTTTGATCCTATTGAAACCAAGTTTCATATGCTTGGATTAGGTTTTAGCAAGTTTGTTTCGGCACGGAAAATCTAAACGAAGGAGAAGGTTTCTTTCTTCTACAAAATTTTTGAGCTTGTAGCGAGTTCAAAATATAAGTAAATGTATTTGTGAAGGTAATTTGAAGGGTTCAATTTGATGGAAAATGAGTGATGGGAATGAGGGTTAGGAATGGTATGAATAACATAAGGAAGCATGGAAGTGTGTATATGCTTAATTTGTCAAAAATTAATAAAAGATTATTCTAGCAAAACCAATGTCCATGCATTGCCATTAGATACATTAAAAAAATTTGTTTGGTACGCTCGGAGTAAGATTCGTTAAAATAATGTCTAATTGTTTCTTTCTTTAGGCAAGTTGAAATGGTTTAGCTCAAAAAATTCGACTTTTTTTCATTCAAATTTATCGTTCAAACATGGATGATATGACACGACTCTAGCGGTCAATGACCATCTTCAATTCACTATAAATATCAATATCACATCATTATAACGAGGGATCCTAACTTTTTGATCTCTATCAAAAACTTTTAAAATCTCTCTCACTCACATACTAAATAACATCTAAATCTTCTTTCATTTGGACTTTGACCACCCATATGTCTATAACTTGACTTGCTCTTTGCTAGCTTGTCTACTCCTCCTCCCATGTCTCTCATTATTCACATCCATTCTACTTGATTGGTTAAGCTGTAATATTAGATTTTTATATTTTGATTGGCTTATCAATCGGTTCTTTGATTAGTTTTCAAGTATCACCCATAGAGAGTGATAGGAATGCGAGGTTGGAAAGCTCGGACAAGATGTTATAGTAGTTTAGGGTTAGAAAGCTAAGGCAAGATGTTAATGCCATTGCGAGGTTTTGATGTCATGTAAAGTTAATAAGGAGAAGATAAAAGTTGCGAGAGAAAGCTTAATTATATTTCATTATGATCGATCTATGCTTATACAATTTGAATACAAAAATATAGATATGAGAATAGACTTCAACCTATCTTATCACACAACTTAAATATTTTAACTAACATAACTACAAAGGATAATATTAGGTATTTCATTGCCTTGACTTCCCTGCTTCCTTTTAACACATTGTGATAATAATTTTATTTTAACATATATTATAATAGTTTATAATGGAAAATTAAAAAAAAAAATCTAAACCAAAACATAAATTTACTATTCATTATACTATTTCAAATACTATTCATCTAGATTCATATGCATTATTTATCTAGACTCGTATGCGTTATTCTTTTCACTATACGGTGTTATTTTTATAGTTTTCAAATATTTTTAAGACATTTATTATGAAATTTTTTATGAAATTACACTTTGGTTCTTCTTTTTTAAATATTATTTTTTTAGTTCTCACATATTTTTTATTTGATTTTGGTCTCACTTTTTTGTTTCATTTTGGTCACTTTGATCCTTATTTTTTTCCTCCGATTTTCTAATTAAGAATTTAAAAGCAAAAAGATGTTTAGAAAAAAATTACAAAATAATTTTTTTGCTAAAAATGTGGATAGAGATAAATAAATAATATTTTTTACTAAAAAAATTTATGAAAATATAAAGAATAATTAGTCAAATACAAAATCTTGATTAAAAATGATAAAATTGAATGAATTTTTTTATTTTTGGTTTGATATATTTTAATAGACGCATAATATAATACAAAAAATTAAAATAAAATAATTTTATGTATTTTATTTGATGCATAGCGTATTACGAGTAAAAAAAATAATAATTATGTTATAAACTAAAGTAAAATGGTTTTTCACTATAGCAATGAATAGTGTTAATCACTATTCATTGCTACGATGCTTTGGTTTTTTTTTTTAATTTTCACTTTTTTTTTTGCCAATGCTGACCTTCTTTATCCTTTTTTTCTCGTTCTTGTTCATTTGAATAGTAAACGACTCCCTCCTCGCCACCTTCATTTTTTTTCTTTCTAAACACCGAATATATATATATATATATATTTAGTCCTTTTTTCTCTAAAAATTGAACTTTTTTTTTAATTTTCATTTCTTAATAATTATGGGTGTTCAAATTTTAAAAGAACCAACAATTAATTGGGTGTTAAAATTTTAAATAAACCAATAATTTATTTCTTTTATTATTTATTTCTAAAATTTATAAAAAACAAATAAGAAATAGTTAAATACAAAATTTTTATTAAAAAATTATAATTATTTTTTATTATAAAATAAATTATTAAATTAAAATAATTTTTTTAGATAATTTTATATATTTTATACCGTGGGTCAAAAATATAGTTTCAACGGTAGCAATTGGATCCCAAAGTCCTACCGGAACCTCTCACGAAAGGTTAGATATTGTTGGGTAAATTTTTGTAGTCTACTAGGACATGATTGATCAGTTATGTCATTGACCGGCTAAAACTTAGCCGACCTGGTCAAGATCTGACCAGATCAAAGGTTGACTTTGAAAAAATAAAATAAACAAGAAGGGAAAATAAAAACAAAATTGCTTAGAGCAGGATTTGAATGTTGGTCCTCTTTTATTAACCAAAAAAGCTATGTCAACTCACCAAGACAAATATAATTTATTAACCAAAATCAAATAATTATGATCTAGATGTGTGTCATGCTACAGATAGAGTGGGGCGAGCAACCCCTGCATAATTAATTATGCATGCATGATGATAGTATGAATGATTTTTGGTGCTTTTAGATAATCTCTGGTCTAAATTTAACGAAACAATCTTCACTCGGTATCTTACATTTATGCACTTCAGAATTTCTTAGACCTGTTTCCAAAAGCTTTCCCGTTGTTCATATTGTTCCTGAGTAAATTTTTGTCAACGATATGAGCCCAAACGCGCCCAAGTGCGTTTGTGTAAATCTTTATCTGTGTGTTATATGCATAGACATGAATGTCCACGTAAGTAAGGAGATCACAACGTGACTAGAGAAACTTAGGGATACAATGAACTTGACTCTTAATGTACGACTCAATTTCTCATTCGTTTCTATTTCAGTTGACTGCAGAAGTTTTATCAGCTGATGGAAACGTGAAGGCAAAATCTAGTCGGCCCTGCATGTTGCGGTTTAGAAGCCTGCCGATTCAGCTTCTACGAACATTTATCATGGGTGTACCCTTAACGTTAGGAATTTCTGAAGAAACCCAGAAGATCTCTGTTAAAATGTTACAGCTCAAGGAAAGCTATCCAAGAAGCAAAGAGCTGAGAGTGACTTTAATTCCAAGGGCTGGAACAGTATACCTCCCGCAGATGTATGAAGCAGAAATTCTGCTGAATTCTCAGCTGCCATGGACAAAAGAAGTGGTGCGCAATTGGAAATGGACATTTTATGTCTGGACATCCTTATATATTTACATTACAATGCTTGTAATTCTAACATGTTGCTGTAGGCCACTTGTTTTCCCAATGACAGCAGTAAATTTCAGCTACCGCCGCTATGGTGTTGATCAGAGAGAGGATACTGGAGAATCAACAGATGCACAGGCTGCAGCAAGGGATGAAAAGGAAATTTCAGAGCTTCTGAGAAAATGGCAGCAAAGGAGGAAGAGAAAGGCAATAATTTTTCATAGAGATATGGCAGACACAGAATGCTCATCAGCATCAAGCATGAGCATTACCAGGGACGACACAAGTATGGCTGTTGATATTGAAGAGGACATTGTAGATTCAGAATAGGTTTGTGAAGAAATGTGGTATAGCTGGTATCTTGATATGATCGCCTTAGTTGCAAGAAACAAACATTCTGAATTTCGTGTTCTCTCTTTATTATATTAGACAAGGTCTAAAGCCCTGTGTAGAATGATTTTGTTGGAAATGAGAAACTTTCTATGGATTGAGTAGTGCTGAACCTTTTGTTACAAATTCAAATCAAAGGCTAAAAGTGGAGTTCAATTGAAAAGGCCAGCAGGAGCAGCTTAGTTTAGATGCTAAAGCCTTTCATTAACTTCCTCAACTGCTACTTCAGTTTCATTTGCTAGTTTCCATTGTTTGCAACGAATGCATGCTTGCTTATTTTCTGGGACTCATATTTTAGGACTTTCTGTATATCTTTTTGATATGCCAGTAATATTAAGTGTGTTGTTAGACGATATCTTAGCTACTTCAGTTGAACTATAAGATAGAATCAGGGTTGCAGATGTTGAAATCACATGGGTTTTAAGAAATAAGTTACATGACAGTACTCTGATGTCATTTACCCTAGGATGTTGGAAGCTTTTACAACCTAGTAGTGCTTCAAATAAAACACATCAGGCCAGTAGTGGCCCATTCTAACAGCATATGGAAATCGCCTGTCATGCACTACCAATGTCTTGCATCAATGAGCAGTGAAAACCACTCCACTGGGGAAAAAAGTCTCACACATATGTGAGATTCTGATTGGAAATTAGTGGCATCATAGTTTTGAAAAATAGAAGGCTAAAATGTTACATACCCTAAGCTATGCAGGCCAGCCCTGGAGTAAGTTGACTGCCACCTGAATCTAATGGCTTTTAACAGATAAGGATCTTCTTTGTCTCTCTTTCCTGCTCTCTTAATGGCTGAGCCTCATAGGCTCCCCTTTTACTTGCATCACTATTTCTTCCCTACATCTATGACGTTGACAGATGCAAAAAAGAGTTCTCTGTTGCACCCAAAAAGCTACAACATTAGCATCTTTTGCTGAATATATTGATTCTTCATACGGCCATGTGGAAGAGCTAGCCTTTTGTCATTGAGAACAGATCCTGAACTGGTCCGATCGGTGCAAAATCAATACATTTAGGACCTACTAATAATTTCCCAGTGAGTTTGTTTGTGAAATTTTGAGATTGAAGCAATCAAGGCTAATTCTAGACGGTCCAACCTGCGGACCATTCTCTCAAGTCTCAACTACTAAAATTTTTCCTCCAAAAATTAGTATCAATAAGGTGCTGAAACATGAGAACCGGGTGAAGCATAAAGGAAAAAACTGCCAGAACTTCAAATGTTGCAAAGTTCAATACCAAACAACCAAAACATAACTTTCAATTCCACGGGGAAGAAAGAGCAAGCAAACATCGGTCCTAAAAAGAGCACTGAGCAAGGGAGAAAAGTAATAGACCATTGGTCACCGAATCACCACTCAACACAATCTTTGTTTCCTCTAAAAACTCTTTTGGCGGTCATTGAACCTCATTTCCCCACCTTTCAATACGCAAAATAATGATGCAAAGAGAATTTATTTTCTAAGCAGGACAAAGATTTTAACCCAAAGTAAAGACAGAAGAAAGACAAAAGCGGAGGCACTTATTAAATAACGTAGCACAAGGATTTTCATTAGATAATTTCAAAGAGACTGAAATATTCTGATACATCAATGACATTTTTAACTGATATTATACCTGAAAGGCAGAAACAGCTCTTTTCTAATATAGAAATCACAAATAGACCAGCAAATTTTCACCCCCACATTCATATTATAGGGTTGTCTAAAAGTAAATGTCACAAATAAAGCACCAGTAGAAAAATTACTTGCCAGTAGTAGCGAATCTGAAGAAGTATCATCCTCATAAGAAAAGGAGGCTCAGACAGATAATTCTGTTCGAGAAATCAGGATCCCATCAGTATCTGCATAAAGCCATTCTCCATCACTGATTCTGGTGCCACCTATGGTAATAGGAACATGTTTCTCTCCGATCCCCTTCTTATTGGCTTTCATTGGATGGGAGGCCAGGGCTCTCACTCCAATATCACAACCATTAATCTCATCAACATCCCTTATGCAGCCATTAACCACTATACCAGCCCATCCATTATTCTGAGCTTGTACCACAGGATTACCTCCAAGTATCGCACAGCGCAAACTGCCACCACCATCCACAACAAGAACTCTGCCATTCCCTTTCTCCTCAAGAAACTCACGAATTAAAACATTGTCTTCAAAAACCTTAAGAGTCACTACTGGACCAGAGAAGACTTGGCGCCGACCATAAATCTGAAAGATTGGCTGGAGTGCTCGAAGCTCACCACTCACAATTAACTGTGGATTTGTGTCACAAACTTCAGCAGTCGTAACCAATGCCATTTAATCCAAGTGCCTTCATGATACAAAGCATGGCATGCATTAGAATAATAACAGGAAAGAAAATTCTCATAAATCATAAATCATAAATTGAAACAAACTAAGAATTTCTATTTCAACGTTGAAAACACTAATTAATAAGCAACCTCTTGACCTCAACAACGAATTGCGAGATGCTCCTGGTGTAAATGCTACCCTACTCACATTAAAACGACCTCTTGGTCCCACTTTCATGCCCCGAGGGAGCACTAGTGCGGAAACACCCAACAGTAATCTCTGGAAGGGAGTAAAATTGAAAACATACTCATCCCAATATCCTCGAACAGAACTATATGCATTTTGGAAAGCATAATCAATTAGTCTAAATGGATCGTTCAAGACATGAATAGATAAAGAAGCAAAAGTTTCAATACATAAGCATGTCTGTTGTTCACTTAGAACAATTCATGAATCCATTCACATAAATCCCAAATAATTAAAAAGCAAAAAAAAAAATCTTCTAGATCCAAACATTCTTAACAACACAAAAATCAATACTGCAAGATTCCAATATGTTTGTTTGTGTGAACAAGATTTGAGTAGTTAAAAGACAATAATAAAAATGAAAATTTAGCAGCATCAAATCTTAAAAGACAAAGGTAAATAAAATCAAATCATGATCTGGCTGCTAAACTTTACCTGCAACTGGGTGGCGAACGATTTCTGCGTGATTCAGGAATATGCACTCAGTCACAGGGGAAGGAAACTGCGAAAGAGAGAGGGATGAGACAGACGACAAAATAAACTGTTTATAAAATGAGAGAGAGAGAGAGAGAGAGAGTCTTCGTTAACTGGAAAGCGCGTCGTGTAGCTTTACTTGGCTGCCTTTGAGAATGGACCGTGGATTAGACTCGGATATGACTCAATCAATGGACTGGGTTGTGGTCCCCAATCCAAGTATAGTTTTTGGTATTTCTTTCTTTATTTAATTTTTTTCTACTAGGCTTTTTTTTTTTTAGGTGGCGTGTGTTATCAACTATTAAATAATATTTTTTTATATAATATGTAATAGATTATTTTTAATTCTATTTTTAGCATTTATTAATTTAAAATGTTTGGTTGTTAAAATCTGAATAGTTTTATATAAAGCTTGATAATTTGTTGCTAAATTAGTTTGTTGATTTGTTAAACATGTAAATAAATTTTAATTGCATTGAAACAAAAATTATAGACATAAAGTTTAAAATATTTAGTAGTTAGTGTGTATCTGTGTGTTTGTGTCTATTGCACGTATGTGCCTCTTGAAAATAGTCATCACTAATAAATATTACATCAATTTATTTACCATCATAATTAAAATTTGAAAATATATATTTTTTATAAGAAAATTCCACGTATTTCTTGGAAAAATAGAATAAAAAATTATTATGTATTATAGTGTTGTATTTATATTCTATATGTATCATGTGAACAAAAATTTTATCCTTGATCTCACTAGTTCTTAGTGAATGAATCTTTTTATTTGACAGAGTTGTTTTTAATTACATGTCACGTGAAAAGAACTTATAAACAATATCGGCATATATATAATATATATATATAAGTTAGATATTTACGTTACATTATAGTTAAATAACCATTACATATGTAAGATTAACGATTCGTATGGTGTAGTGTGAGTAAAATTTTATTTCTAATGATTAATGTAAATCAAATCTATATATTGAGCCAAATCATTTGATATATATATTAACAAATATTTAACAATATTAGCATAAAAAATTATATTTGAATAATTAGGAGGTTATTTCAAAACATTATCCGACTTATTTTATTAAAAAAAACAAAGTTTAGAATATAAAAATATAAATAACAAATAATTAGTATTATATGTGCGGATATATGGTTAATTTCTAATAAAACTAATGATATACACGAGATATATATATATATATATATAACGATTCGAGTATATAGAATAAATAGAAAAAATATACGAAAAAACCAACTAAATTGTATGAATATATATTGAAGTCAATAGATTAAAACAAAAACTATAACAAATTTGGTTCAGATGAATTCGAATATATATATATATAACTTTTGAATTTTTTTAATCGATTATTATTTAAAAAAAAAGTTAAAATTTTGCAAATGAAAACTGAATTGCAAGGAAAGTTATTTTCATTTTCGAACTTTTTACTATTTTTATTTATTTATTTTCAAATTTTTTGCCGTTTTGATTTTCTCTTCTTTTTTTTCCTTCCCCATTTCTCGCACCTATTTTGTTATATATATATATATATATATATTTGTTATTTTCTTTTTATTCTTTCTCAATAAATATGGATGAGACCTATTTTTGTCATTTATTAGTTAGAGACTACCATGTATCATTTGATCCTAGCTACCTCAGCATTTTCAAAGTCAATTGTTGGAGAGAGAACTTAATTCATATATATATATATATATATATATATATATATATATATATATATATATATATATATATATATATATAAAGTTGCACACTTAAATAGATATAATAAATAGTTAAACACTTAAACATGATAAAAAAAAATAATAAAGGTTGAAGACTCAAATTATGGTCTTTTCATTTTCATTTATTTGAATGAAAATATTTACGAAAAAGGTATATTAGAGAATGATATAAAATAAACTGAAAAAGTATATTAGAGAATGGTATAAAATAAAATGATAAATTGAGAGCAATTAAACTTTTAAAAATAGATTCGAGATTGAACTTAAAATATAAAGACAAGTAGGGCTAATTCCCCTTTTTATTTCGGGATCATTTTCGGTATAATATTAAGTTATATGTATATCATCAAAAAGATAAATTAAAAATGTTTTTATTTTACGGGAACACAATTGGCTCAACTAGGGATATAAGAATAGATCAAATACTAAACTCTTTATATACGGATAAACTAATCTATTTTTCATTAATTATTTTGGTTTGTTCTACTCATGGATTGAATGCAACTGTTTGGTTTCTTACATTTTCATTACCTCATTTCACATGAATCATTTGATATCGTATTCTCGCCTAAATAGACAAATGTCGTGATTTTTATCACGAGACCGAGTTATCTTAAAGATGCGTTTCATATATCGATCTGGATTGGATTAGACAAGTTGTAAAATATTTGGTGAATAGTCCTTGTCATGTTCAAAGTTATCCTAAAGAAAAAGTTATTGCCTTACCATAGGGTTGGAACAAACGAGTCGAGTATCATAGACAAAATCACTATTTCTCAAATTTTCATATTATTTATTATCTATTTATCACTCAATTTTTCATATATTTTTTTAAATTTGGCTTACCAAATATTTTCTTAAAATGAAATTTTACATTTAGGGGCTTAATTGCAAATTTAGAAATTAAATTGCATATGCTAAAAAATTAAAGAACCAAAAATATTAAATAAATGACTAAAGTATCATGAAACTAAAATAAATTATAGAAAAAATCCCAATAATCAAAATGAATTTTTACGAAAACTTCATGCGTTTGGTGGGATGCAACAAGATATTAAATGGAGTCATAAGTCATAATGAAAACACCTAAAAGCTTGCACCCACTTTGAAAAAAATTATTTGCTTGGACAATGATGATCCATGTTTGACAAAAAAAACTGAAAACATATCAGTCTCTTGGAGTTCTATTTTCCATTGCCACAAGATGCAAGCTTTGAGATTCTTTTGCACTGATAAAATTCTAGCCAAATTAAGCTATACGCAGTGTTACACATGTAAATAATGAACATCTTATACTGAAAAGTAAAAGAAAAAGATCGTTTGTTTATATAAAAAACAGGTCCAAGAATTATGAGTTTAGGATTTTGGATCAAAATGGTGTCAATTTTTGTATATAAGCTCTCACCGGTACAAATTTATGTACGAGTCTAAAGAACTCTCTAATACAGATCTCCCTAATAAATGGAACTAGAGTCAATGGTAAGACACTACGACAGATGTTTGTATAGTCGATGGAATAGTATTGGGTAGGATATGAATTGACTTTCTTGATTGTTGTTTCCATGATAAAAATAAAGAGAGTTCGACTCTTGGTTGGAGAGCAGTCTCAAAGTACCAACTCAGGCCAAAGCTTAAACTGTTATTTATATTATTTTCTAATATATTTTTTTAAAATAAAAGCTTTTTGAGTTTAAAATTTACATTGACATATATTATCTTGTGCTTATTAATTAGAAGAGAAAATAGAGATGGTAGGATTTAAATTCATGATCGTTTGGTCATCAAGACTCTAATACCATATCAAAAGATCATCTTACTTAAAACTTAAACTTTTACGTGAAACGCAAGGATATGATTTATATTATTCTTTAATAAGCAATAAAATAATTCATGCAGTAGTATATTGAAACGGATCAATTAATCCTTCTACTGTTAAAAATGATTTAATACCAAACTATAAGGATTATTTAATTATTTCTTATAGTAAAGGAAAGTCAACTACTAAATTGAGGACGCATCCATCTCTTATTAACACAGAATTCACAGATAGACTAAGTTATTAATTAAACACCAAATTGTAAGAATTATTTAATTATTTCTCATAGTAAAGGAACATCAACTACTAAATTGGGGACGTATCAATATCTTATTAACACAAAATTCATGGAGAGACTATATTACTAACAAAATACCAAACTATAATGATTATTTAATTATTTTTCAAAGTGAAGGGGCTAATTAATCCATTTAAATAAACTATAAGAACTATGTTCTTTTTGTTTAACAGAAGCTAATCTGTCTGGATCGTGTTTTTCAAATACACAATTTCAAGACAAGCCAATCTGAGTACATTGACACAATTGGAGACTTGAGATGGTGATGTTTCTACCGTTTTAATTATATTCCACTATATTTGTGGTCAATTCTTACAGTAATTGGCATTGATATGTGAAGGACAAACAAGTTGGTTGGTATATTTATGGTTCGATGCACATATATCGTGCTATATGTATGTACAATCTGAAGTACATTAGTGTTTATAAGATAGCCCGTGATTCAAACTTGAGACAAAACCCTGCTGTTTTTGATCTACCAAATTCGTGGATATTCCTGAGTCCTCCATAAGAATTCTATACCACATGTATATTAATTAACTTAGTTAGCTTCCAGGAAAGTTTTATCGTTGCTAATTATGAGTTGATCATGTATGATTATGCTGTCAAGTTAGATAATTGATTAATTTTGTTAGTTGGGGAAAAAAAAAAAGGAGATGATGCAAAATTCATTGCTCATCGTATAGAAAAGCAATAGTTCAATTTTGGTAGGTCTCTATTTTTTTTTTTAATAATATAGGTGTTCGGATCAATTTATGTGTACCTCAACTAATTTTACAGATCGTAAAGTTAACGATTATGTAAACCTCTAATACCCATAAAAAAGAACAATCAAGATTCGAATTCAAGATCACAAAGGAGCAACCCTCTTCATACTAGATCCTCGCCGCCACCCCCTTGTGGTTAGATCTCCATTATTTTTTGTACGGTACCGGTGAAAGTTACATGACGTCATGGATGGTCCCACCACACAGGAACAACTTGCATGTATCTCTGCTTTCACATGTACCGGAGAAGATATTTCAAAGCGGAAGCATTTATGAGTGTATTAATTTCTTCTTTGAAGGCATCGCCCTTTTTTTAATTTATTTATCATAAGGGTTGGGTTTCGCTGTACAGTTGGAAGAGAAATCATGGAGGGACTAAATTATTAACAAAATACCAAATTATAATGATTATTTAATAATTTTTCTCAGCGAAGGAGCTAATTAACTCATTTAAATAAACTATAAGAACTAAGTTCTTCCTACTTAATGCGACCTAATTTGATCGGATCATGTTTAATCAAATACCTAGAAAAACTTTTAACTTTCATGATAAGCCAATTTGAGGACATTGACAATGAATTGTATCGATACAGATTTTTTATGTATCCACATCTTATGTATATGTATTCGATTAGATATTTTATAACCACCACTTGTATTTGGTCTGAGTTATTCGACTCGAATTTTTTAATTATTTAAATTTTTTTAAGTATCTCATAAAATCATATTTTAATAAATTAGTATAAAGAATCTCACGTGTCTAACATCTAATTTTTTTTAATGTTTAGAAATTGGGTATATAATATTAAACCATATAGTTGTTATATGTTAAATGACTAATATCATGCATTTAATATATATATATTCACACTTAACTTATATCATATACCACTTTATACTTGATAGATAGATATTATATACAATTCTAGGTTATCCTAATATACTAATTTTACATATACTTAATTAATAATCATTATGATACTATATTTATAATTATAAAATAAATTTAGAAAGTTGAGTTTATTTTTTTAGGATTTGCAATATAATATTATAATCATTATATATATTAAAAAATTAAGAAAATAATTTTTTCTTTATGAAGTATAAATTGAATTATTAGGCTTATTTATAATAATAATAATAATAATATATTACCAAAAGAAATTTGTAAAAATAGTAAAAATACCAGCTTAGGTACGGATCAAATGAACCCATCATCCGCTCCTGCACACCATCCAAGCGAAACGGTGAAACTGCTCAATTCTGAATAATGCCAAATATCTAATGGAAATTGACATTCCTACTCTCAAGCAGTAAGCCAAAGGTCATATCTCTCTCTCAATTTGTATTACGGGGAAAACCTTCGATAAGATCATTTGCCCTGTTTTTCTGCGTATGCGATACCAAGAAAACTCACGTCATGAACAACTATAGTCTTGGCTTGAGCTGGAGGGAATTCTCATGATAGAGCAGTTCTTACGGCCCCAATCAATGTCACGTATGGAAGAACCTATGGTCGGCATTCCACATCAAACAAACAGCATGCCCTTCACTCAAAACAAAGATACAGAGACATTCGGAGCGATAATAAAGCTCCATAACCATGAAAGGGGCCATGAAGTTTTTATCAGGTTCTTAAATCATGATGCCAAATCAAACTTACAAGACCCAGTATCTAGCCGGTTTTAACCAACTCATGGTTCAACACATAACCAGGCCAAAATGGGCTGTTCAGCAAATACTAAGGTACAACAAAGATGGAATGGAAACTGGTTTGGAACTGCTTCATGTCCAAGTTTATTCAAATAAAGTTGCAGATGATACCAGCATGTATTAAGTCAACTTGTGAATTGTTTTCATGTCAGCTACTTCCTTTAGAGTCCCTTTCTCGACATGGTCCCACCACTTGAACAAGAAGTTGTCCACAATTAGTCTGAACCAAGGTGACAACTTCAAACCTTCCTCACCAGCATCTGCTTTTCTCAGAAGCTCCTTCAACTGTTCCTGGTTAACATACTTGATATCAGCTACCTCATCAGGGTTTGGATTTACACCAACATCACGAACCATGAAGAGCAGGTAATCAACTGCAATCAGTAAAACAGTTATGAAGTAAAACGCTGTCATCACAGGAAGTGGGAGGATTCTATATAACAATGAAAGCAAGCTGTAAAATATAAACAATAAAAGCTTGCAGCATGTGTTTGAAAACCGCATTTTGATTTCAGCACAACCAATGGCCCATAACTCAGATGCAAATGAGAAAAATGACAAAACAGCTTTATAATACATCAAATAGGGAAAATTACGTTCATGCTCCCCCCACTTTCCATCAGAAGGTGCCTTGTACAATATGCGCCCCAGTGGACTGAACTGATCAACTGGCAAATCTTCAGCGGGAATACCGAGCTCATCAAAAAGCTTCCTCTGTGCAGCATTCCTCACCCCTGACAACAAAAAAGAAGAAATGGTAAAGAATTTATTACCCACTCACAGTAAAAGCAGGTATAGCAGATGATGCTGGAATATAGACAACAGTACAAATATGTACCAAGAGAATCCTCATCTGTAAGCTCAGATTCACGATATAAAGGATGGCTGCAGCAAGTGTTTGTCCAGACCAGGGGAAAGGTTACCTTCGTCGCAGAGCGTTGCTGTCAATAAAACAACAAAATATATGTAAGCTCAATCAACATAAATTTTCACAAAATAATTGTGAAGAAGACATGCCTAACCCGAGAAAAACATTATTCCAGACATAAAATTAGTTTCTTAGCACAAGTCTATCTAATTTTTTTCAGCTCCTATATGTGTCAGTTATTTGCTTGATACTATTAGTGATTAGGGCTTTGATGGATTGGCATGTACAGCTGCACTCATGTGGTCATGAATGCTGTCTCCTCCGCATTGACAGTTCTCAATTGTGGTTATAAAAGGCATAAGCTCGTGCAGATAATTTAACCAAGAATGCAAGAGTGCTTCAAGCAATAAAAACATAACCAATTCCATTCTATATTGATGGGGAAAAAAAGCTTATAACAGATAAGTCATATTAGGTAACAAAATCTTTAGGCATTTCTTATACTTTTAATAATGAATAGTGCTATCCTCAAAAATAAAAATAAAAAACATGGAAATGGTGACCGTATACCTGAAGGAGTAGCTCATATTTTGAGTTCAAGAGAAACACACTAAAAGCTCTGTGTAAAGCATTCCCCTTCAAAATATTTTCCCACAAATGACCTGCAAATTTCAAAAGCATGAATCATGAGAAAACCAATCCGTGGGCAATCTAGTGAGCATTCATTTTAAAGAGGACTTGACAGCATTGGCATGTGTCCAAACAACCAAGCTACTGAGAGCAGTACCCATCTAAAATAACCAAAATGCAGAGAAGATGAAAACAGAATCAGATTTCTCTTAAACAAATCGCCACTGTAATAAGTACCCTTGGATTGCTTCAAACAGAAGATAGATTCATCAACAATCAAACAGATGATCCTTACATCATCACACAAAGACAAACATTCAAAGACTGCATAGGTTTCTTAGGCAGGAACAACTACACAATATGCAACAAGACTTTTCATTTTTTTTATCCATTACATTAATTTACCAAATGCTAAATCTGCAAAAGACTGTAACACGAAAATCTTACTTACAATTATATTTGGAGTCGTGACCAACAACACGATCATTCTCATCCACTAAAATGCATCTGCATCCAATTAAAATCGGTTACAGATAATCAAACCTAGGAAATTACACAACATTAACATTAACATAAGTAAGTTGTAAATATTGCAACGCAATCATTTGCAGTAAAATAACAAGAATTAAAAGTTTGGAAAAAAAAAAAAAACAGATCTCTAACAAAATCTCAAATCAAATCCCATTTCTTTTACTATTAACTCTTTTAACAATAAATAGTAAACAGAATTAGATCCTTCAATTTACTTGCTATAATTATAAACTAAAAACATATTGAGCATAAAAATTATAAATTGATAAGTCGAAACAAAAAAAAGGATATAACTGAACCGAATTCATTAACAGCAATAATCATACAACAGGAGAGAATGCAGAGACCCATTAAATCATTATATCTATTGAATTAATTAATTGAATCCCATTTAAACCCACACACAAATAAAAAGTCAACGCAAGAAGCTAACACAACAGGAGCACGTAAAGAAAAGAAAATACAGAGATTTTAAAATCACAATTAAGTAATTCTTTTTTCTACAAAAAAAAAAAGGAAAAAGAAAAAGAAAAACATAACCCAGATCAGCAATTAGAGCAAATAACATGCATAGCAAAGATAAGCACCAAAAAGAGAGGAATGACGAGCAATGTAAATAAAAGAAAAGGAGAAGGGCAAAAACGGGAAACAGACTCATCCTCGAACATAAGGCGTCTCTGGACAGCGTCCATGCCAGCATCAGGAGAGTCCCCCATGGCGGTCTTGGTGGAAGACGAAAATACCCTGGCGAATAGAGGGGAAGGTGACTTTGTAATATGAGTGAAGCGGCGGAAGGATGGAGTGGTAGAATTGGAAGAGAGAAAATGGGATTTTCGAGGAGAAAGAGCAGAAGAAGAGGGTAGTAGGTAGGGAGAGAGTTTGATGGTGGTAGGAGTATATAGAACGCGAGAGGTCAGAGACATTTTTCTAGCTCCTTTTTTTTTTTTTTTTGAATAAATTTTTAATTTATTATGGGACGGTGTTTTGTCTCCGGTCTATGGAATATATTGTAGATTGTCTGCCATTGTTGAAGTCAATGAATTCTTTTTTGTTATTTTACGATTTCTTTTTTTTTTTTATGGTCAAAGAAATTTTGGTTTTTCAGTAAGAGTATTGATTCGAATATTGTGCACAACATTCTTGGCCAAACTTTTTGATTTGTGCACTGAATTTTGTCTTGATAGCCTATCCAAAAATTTGGTATCAAGTGGTTGGTGTAAATTAAATGAATTCCACGTTTTAAAACAAGTGACACACAAATGAGTTTTTAAAGAAATGATATATTACAAGATCTTTAAGAAGAAAAAAGTAATATATTTATGTTGGGTTTTTTCTATCCTTACCTCAAAATATTATAATTAAAATGTTTTCAAGTTTACGAAATAAGATAGTTTTTGCGATACAATAAGTATAAATATTAATCAGTTTGTAATAACTTAAAAATGGTTATTTTACTACTTAAATTGAATTTTTTTCCCTTTTTTTTAAGTAAAAATAAAAATTTTTTTATTAATAACAAAAAAAAAAACTACGGTTTAGTAAATGCGTCTATTTTAACATTTTGAAAAACTTACAAGGTGAATAATATTTATTTTCTTTTTGAAGATAATAATGTATTTTTTAAGTCATAAGTATACAACAATATTAATTGTAAAAATAACTAGTTAAGTTATTAAATGTTAAGATAAATTTATGCTATACAATAAATAAAAATATTTAATAACTTGAAAGCACTATAATTATATGTCTTCTTGTAGCCATAGAAATATAAAATGTCTAATAATGCTATTCAGTGAAAATATCATAAACTTTGACTCTTAACATAACTATGATGAAATCCCTCCAATTATGCCATTGTGAAATACAAAAAATTTCACCAAGTATGTGGTAGCCTATTTTATACCGTTTTTAGTGTAAAAAATAGTATGTTGAATTTTCAGATTTATTGGCTAAATTAGAAAGGCAAAAATGAATTATGATGCAACAAAGAGAAAACTATATATTCAAGAAAATTAGCTTGAGGTGAAAAAATTCTAGTTATTTAAATAAATTGTTTCGAATTCGAGTCTTTGTATACATAGAAAACTCTTTGAATAATTATATTTATTTTGTAAAGATTAATTTAAATTTTTAGGTTTGGGATAGTTTGAGAATAAAAAATAAAAAACTACAACTTTATGTTTTGTATAGAGTAATTTCTTCTAAAAGAATGATGGATTTAACGGAATGAAATTTTTAGTGCAATATTCGGCGGTCCTTTACTTAAAAAAAGAAAAATTATCCACCTTTTGAAATAAAAGCCTTTTAGTGGATTTTTCACGAACTATATGGGTAACGAGGGTTTTAAACCTACTTTGGAGTTTGGAGTGAGGGTTGGACTTTGAGGCTATAAGACCATCCAAGTCAACAGCAAACAGGTGATAAAAATTGAGACTGCAAAGACGAAAACAAAAAGTTCACAGGTTACATTTACCAATTGCTTTGCAGATGCTAGTGGACTTAGAAAAAGAAAACTTTTTACATAATATTAAGAGATTTGAAATTAAAAAAAGACCAATAAACACACAATAGCAGTCATGGGAATTTTTGTTCAACTTTTTTTGCAATTTTTACATGAGTCTATTCGTGAAAAAATCATTACAAAATATTCCGACCATATATCATTACTCGATTATGAAAAGAAAAATTAAACGAGCAAAGTTATTTGCAAAACTCATTCTTTGCTCGATTTTACCAACTTGTTAAAAACAAATAATTATTTGCTATCAATTCAGTTGATTAATTATTAGTTTTTTTATTTCAAATTAAATTTAATTTTTTTAAATTGAAAAATAAAAAACTACTCTGGTGAAATGAGAGATAATATTAATAAAAATAATAATGATGAATTATGCAGAAAAAAAATACTTAATTGAATTAGATAAATTTTTAATTTTGAAAATTATATCCAATTGGTCGAAATGAAAGATACACTTAATCAATTGACTAATTTAATGCAAAGGGATCAATGAATTGATTAAAACACAAGATATAGATAATAGTTTTAACTTAATTATTTTGTTGTGTAGCTCAAAGTTTAAAAATTTTCAAATAAAAAAATTGTACCACCAAAGCATCCTCGTTGTTATTAGGGTTGATACCCTCACATGTCCTTATATAATATGTCAATTTTTCATTTTGTCACTAAAAACAAAAACATTTCTAATTTGTTCTTACATTTTGAGCTAGTTTCTAATATATCATTTTAATTAAAATTTTCAACTAAATTAAACCAAATTAAGCATGTGATTTGCACATGATATGTGATTTGATAAAATTATTTTTGTTATTTGACACAAGTAATTTATATTCAATTTTTAAAAATTAACGGTAAATTTTGATCAAAAGGATATATTAGAAACTAGTTTAAAATATGAAGACAGATTGGAGATATTTTTTAGGAACAGATTGAAAAAATGGCTTATTATAAAAGAACATCACCACAAGAAAACAATAAAATAGCGTCGGATAATTCTATTGCTACTTCAGTAAATTTCGTTGTTAAATCGACTTAGCAATGGATTTAAAATTGAAAAAAATCGTCACCAAAACACTTGTTGCTAACCTTTGCGACAAAATGAACAATATTTGTCGTTAATTCGTTTTATTCCATCTCTATGTTTATAACGAAACTCGTCATCTTTCCACCATATAAATATGTCACACTTCCGTCATAAATGCATCTTAAATCCATCACTAAATAACGACCGATAAACGTCATTGCAGTGATTAGATACTAATGTTAGTTGCAATTCCATCATTATTCCATCGTTAACTAGCGATAATTTTGTTTTTTGTCACTTTTTTTTCAAAATAAATTAATTTTTTATCTTCATTTTCATTGCCAAAACTTTTTTATTTTTTATTTAATATTAAAAATTTTGATATTCTCAATAGGCAAGTTGGGTCTCTACGTCGACCTATGTAACGTCATTGGAATCGACAAAATTTGAGTTTCCATCCCATAGATCTTCATCTCGTTGTTGCATGATAATATTATTCCGCTCATCTAACCTCACTTGCATTCCCCTCATCCTCTCCTCGTACCGGCTAGGAGTCCGATCACCAACATTATCGCTGGGGAACTATGATGCTATAGAGAACAAGCTATAGCTAACCGAATTGGATAAATATTGTGATGCCTTTGACCCGACCTTGTACCTCCTATAAATTCAAAGTATATGGCCCCCGTGTTGACCTATGGCTCCTCAATTCCAACCTCTCACTCGCTTCTTAACAATTTTTTGTATTAACTCCTCCACTCGCTCCCGCATGATCAAAATAATTAAAAAATAAAATAATTTTTTAGATTATATTTTCATATGTATATTAAAAAATTAAAAACACATACTATTATTTTTTGGGCCCTCAAATCGATGAAACTCTCATCTTTTCCGCTTGTGAGTGCCCCAAACAACTCTAAATTAGTAGGCTTATGCTCCAATTTGACGGTCCGAAAAAATAGACACAAATAGCATATAAGTCGCAAATATTAATTTATTAAATATTAAATAATATATGATAGGATTTACCAAGCGATGGGCATGCTTAGAAGCGAGAGATAAACCCTCTTATATGACTAGATGGGCTCGAACCAACATTATCGGTCTTCGACATTCGGTTACGCGATGCTTGCCATGAATGCGCTTGATGATCGAGTGTGGTAAAATCTCACTTTCATGAATCTCACACCTCTTGCCTAATAAAATATGGCCTTTCATCATTTGCACCATGTGTGTGGACAAAGTCGAGTAGCATTTCCTTGCTAAAACCTCTTAAGCACCTCTAGCTCTATGCCTCAACGGTCGAACCCCAATAAAAATACTTCTACATGAATAAAAAAAATTAATATTGATTATTTTATATTAAATTAATATTTTAAATGTAATATAAACAAATAAGTAATACGTTACATTGTAGTAAAATTATTTCATCTCGCTTCAAGATGAACTTTCACATCTAGCCACCTACATCTAACCGCTCCTTGATAATCAAGGTTATCCTTTTAGAGCAATCTCTTTGATACAAATGGAAACTATTGAACATAAAAAAAAAAAAAAGACATGTAGTAATTATTGAAATGATATATTAAAATAAAAATAATTACAACGTTTTAAGCAAAGTACTTACCGACTATTAACGATCGAAACTTGTTATCGAATATCGAAGCTTTAAGAGCTCCCCGAATGGAAAGATACATCAATGGATGAGGAACCCTCTCGTAGGCGATCGAGGAATCTCTATTACCGAGGGAACGACCATAGAGGTAGATGCTAGAGTCGTTGCAAAACCACCGGCTTCGAGAGAGGAATAAAACGAACATCCCATGTTATGGGGCCTATGTAGAGCACTTGAAGAGGGAGATTCGAGTCCAATATTGAATGAGGAATCACATCCACTATCGTTAGTCGGGGATGCACGTCCACGACTACTAGATCAAGATCTTTGAGGGGGTGTGGGATGTTGACACGAACCACATGTCATAGTTGAATAGTATCACCTAAGATAATTTAAAAAAATATATATATTATTAATAATAAGCATTAAATTTTTTTTTTTTTAGAGTCGCTCCTAAAAATTGAAAATTTCCTAATTACCCGATACACAACCTACTTAAAAAACAACACAATCAAAAAACACAACCAACATTTTAAAAATTTATTAAAGTCAATATGATATACTATAATAAATAAAACAGAAAAAACATCATTTTTTACTAATATAATAATTAAAATATATATTTAATTACAACCATTGTAATCACTGTTTAAGTTTTCATCTCTCTCATCCAATACAGATTCATATCCTTATAATGTAGGATCAAACTAATCATATTTGAACAATATTGTTCTATTGATTAGTAATGCGAGATACTCTAGTTGTA